GGGCGATGCTGCTTCAATTTCTGGCGTCATTCGTTCCCCCACGCCGTAGTTTAGTCTCGTGTTGGCCGCCTCGTTGTCATGACAACCACCGTAAACAACGCTTCGAAGAGAAGCGGAATACAGACTGATTTCGATCTGCGTCACTTGCGTATACTATACGTTGTATGCTACGAGGTTGATGTTCGCGCGATTTTTTTAGAAAGCATTCACCGTGCAACTATTCTGTTTATTTCTACGTATTAAACGAACAAACAGAATACATTTTCAATATAGAATTATATCTAAAATATAAAATTTATATAAAATTAAAAATAATTTTAAATAGCACAACCAACCGGAAATTTTAGGTCACCTGATGAGCCGCCACTGCTATAAACTTTTCTCCTGCGGGACTCGGTATTCGAGATGCAGGGTGTTAAAATTTGTAAAAAAATATATATTTTTTCTGCTATATCTTCATGACGGAAATGAATGAAATATTAATAAATTACATAAGCATTGGACTAATATTTTTTCCATTTCATAAGTACTGATTCATATTTATCTGTTCCTAAAACTAAGTTAATGATATTCAGTACTTTTACAACTATCAATTGGGTTTTTACAGATATAAATAAAACAAAGAAAATAAATTGCCTCTGTACAATTCCTATTAAAGTATATGTAAACGCTAAACCCAACAATGAGCTTAGACAATTTCTATTCATCAATAAATTTACTTCTATGTTCCTTGATGATACAGCATTAAACTGATAATTGTAATTATTAATATTAAATAGCAATTCCGTAATAAGGATTCCCTAGAAATTTCCAGTTTAAACAAAAAGAAAAATAGGTACCCTTTGTGACCGAAATAAAATACATCAAAGCAGACAATATAAAAATATTAATTAATATGACTCAATTATCATAATAATTAGTTGTATGTGCGACATAATTTTACATTGTTATTTTATTATACCTGAAATATAATACGTTTTACTTCATTTGTTTTTATTTTGAGTATAGTGTAAATGAAAATACATAATTGGTAATTTAGGAAAATAAAATATTTCATTTTCAGTTCATTTATCGATATAATTAATAATTAAAGTAGGGTAAATAAATGCCATTATTACAAAAAAAAATCATTATTTAGCATATTTTGTTACATTAAACGAACTGGCAAAAAAAGTAAAAAATAGAATAGATAAACACTGACCTTACTTAACAAAAAGATGGAGGCGAGAAAATATGACAAGTGAGTTCGAATTAAACAACCATGGATACTTACAAAAACTAACACTATTGTGATGTACGAAGTCAGCTCAGAAAATAACCGAACTTTATTTTTTGAAACTATATTATTAATTTTATACGTTATTGGTCCTTGTCTCCTACAAAGCAGTCCCCTTCCTTATTCACCCATTTTGTCCAAGCGAATGGATGACTTCATTTGAAATGAAATAGTCTGAAAACGGCGTTCTTTCAGCACTGATTTTAATTTCGGAAATAAGAAAAAATCACAAGGAACTAGGTTTGGCGAGTAGGGAGGGTGAGAGAGGACAGTAATCTGATTATAGACACAAAACGGACGAATTGACAAAGTCGTGTGCGATCGCATTATCATGGTGCAAGAACCAGGAGTTGTCTCGCCACAATTCCGGTCTCTTTTTGCGGATTTTTTCACTTATCCGTTGTAAAACGCCTTGATACTATCAAGGTTCACTGTCTCACCTTCAGGCAAGAATTAAAAATGCACAATTGAGCATCACTTTGACATTGGATCGAGACAGACGTGTTGTCTTGTGACGTGAAGATCCTTTGCCAATCCAATGTGATAATTGAACTTTTGTCTCACTATGATAGACGTAAATCCACCTTTTGTTTCCCGTTATGATCCCTTGAATGAATATTTCATCGTCATTGGATTGTTCCCAATTGAGATGCTAGCCTCTTCTGCAATTTCTCTGACAGCACGCACCAGATCTTTGACTGAAATCTGATCTGAAATCTGAAATCGAAGGCCTTCCTCGTCGAGGATCATCTTCAATTGACTGACGACTACTAAATGAGTTATCAACAATCAACAATCCAAGAACATGTGGTTAGAGACAATGCTGCCAACCCCATATGACTAAATATCTAAAAAAATACTTTTTTTTATATTTTTTTAACAGACCTCTTAGTTACAATTTGGAATGATAGTTCTCCAACATCATTGACTTGTCTGTCGCACACCATTATTTTTAATATCACCAATCAATCAAAAACTAATGGAAAAAGCTGTGAAACCGAAAAGTTGTTGAGTGAACGGTTTAACAACACAAAAAGATCTATTAAAACATTGTTTACTATAGCAGCCCAAACACTAACTGAGAAGCAATATGGAAAATTAGTACGACACAGTATAGAAATTCTGAAAAGGCTACGTATTACTCACACTAAAAATTTCGTTGTGGGTAGAAATCATTTCGCTTGAGAGTAAAACTGGGGCTTGGATATATTAGTATTATCGTTAGAAGCAAGTTGCAAGAACCTACACATAAAGGATGATCTTGTTGTCGCAGATGAAACGTAACTATGCATCATTGAAATAAAATACTAACCACCATCAACAATAAATCTTGACTGTACAATATTTTGTCCATACTAGACCAATACCGAAACACTAGAGTGCAAGAATGACAGTTAAGAAACAAGGAATTTTCATGGTAGATGTACTGTCAAAATAAAAAGCAGCCAACAAAACACTCAAATACTGTTAATTGGTGTTTTTATTTTACCACCCCCCTCTGTTTACACTTTCTACACTAAACAGTTCTGCAACTTTATGAATCTTTGGCTACTGAAGGGAAAACTGGGGAGGACTGGATACAAGTCAAATAAAAAATCTGAAAATTTAACTGGAATATTTTGACTACGAACGCTTTAAAAAAATGTATAAAACTTCTCACAGTTACCAACTGCAGAAATTTATCACACATTTATGTGCAAGCATTGTAAACAAATATTTTGCATTATCAGGCTAAGAGTTTTATTACATTTTCTATTAATTCATATTTTGTATTTTTGTGTAACAAATAAAATATTCAGCCACGCAAAGAAGTGGTTCGTTTGACGTATCTGATCCATACCACTTTAAGTCTTTGAATCCCCAGAAACCAAATCTGCATGGAAAGGACTCAATTACATTCCAGTTTTCTTAAATAGCCAAAACTATTCTTAAAACCTAGGAAGTAGCCAAAACTCAGCGTTCAGTAGATTTCTCCTCGATTCATAATCCTGGAGACGAGTCCACGCGTCTAATTCGTGAGCTCATTGAATATTATGAGTATCCAAAGACTCGATCTATTGTTGCAACATTTCAACTGCGGGTAAAGGGAAAAAGAAGTCCTCTAGTCCGAAGATAGAAAGGAGCACAGAGAAGGAATAAAAATTACAGAAATATTTCAGGTGCAGATAAACTCATTTGTAGAGTTGCATCCAAATAGAAACCCACTAAATGTAAAGTTGTGGCAAATTTATGAACTTTAGGCAGTAGGACATTCATCAATAATTGAAATTTATAGTCTTTTCGAAGTCAGTTGAGCATGTATAAAAATGCCTAGCAATAAAATTTAATGAGTCTCATAGGTGTCCCTAAAAAAGCTTTCTGCCAAAGGTAAAAAATAATAATTTGTACCTATGGAATGTGTAGAAGATGTCTATTATATATTTTGCTTATTTATGTCCTCAAACCATTTTATTATATTGATGGTAAATTTTGGTTATGACATCAAAAAAAATTTACATTTTCATTAAAATATATTATCACCGATATTTTTAAATTTTTGTTTTCGCTTCCTCTTTACGCAACACTTTAATGACACGAAAAATTGTGGGCACTGAAATTATAATTAATACGTGAATTCTATTTTTAAATTCATTATCTGATTTTTCATGTCTTTCCTTTTTTAAATAATCGTAAATATTTAAAATGAGACGTTGACATTGAACATGTAAACCTTTATTTTTAAATTCTAAATCTGTTTCATCAACAACCGGATCTAATAATTCAATATTGTCTAGCGGTATTTCGTTTTGTTTCATTTCAAAAGGTCTCCAAAATGCCATGTTGTAATAATATTAGTAAACAAAATATCCCTCTTATTTCTCCCTTTCGCAATAATTGTAATATGACTGATTAATAGAAAGTGCATATAATAAATTAAAATTACCTGAATCACACCAAATTCCGCATTGCTGCACTGCACTGCTAGGCAATTTGTCAACAACTGAAATTTATGATCCAGTTGCCCAGTGCAGCTGTGCTTGTGCGCTGTTTGCCCGCGCGCGCATTCTTCAACTGGGCGTGTACATTTTTACCACCCCTACGTTTAGTTCGACCAGACCTGCATATGGGTATGGCTAAATAAATATAGGAACAAGTTTTTCAAATATTTCAATGCCGAGTTGCTGCGTAGCGACCGAACCTGGTACATACTGCCTAGCTCTTTGGTCTTCAATTGAGATCGGAAAGACTATATCAGATCGGGACTGATTTTGTCATTATGTCCGAGATAAACCTGTGCTTTGAATAAGTTGTAGTGTGTTAGCCGGAAAATATGAAACTATACTCGTATCAGTCTTCTTCTCCCCAGCATTCCTTGTCAGTTAATAAAACTCATATGAGTACTCAAAATCGTCCTGCGACTGTATAAAGTCAGAACAAAAATAAACCTATTGCGTTACCAAGTCACGAACACATCAACCTGTAGTTAATAAAAACGTGTTTGAACTAACAGCAATTATTATATTGTATTTCTACAGTAATTAAATAATTCTTGTTGTAAATTATGTATACACTAATGCACCACGTGCGCAACATTTGGATCAATGAAAGATCAAGATTATCTCGTTTTTAGCCTTTTTACAACAAGAAAGAGAGATACAACAGTTAAACACGTTGTATATAAACACACCGCCTACTTAAACTAACATTTAATGTGTGCAAGTTCGTGGCTGCATACGTTACTTAATGTAGTTAAACTTGAATGCCTCTTGAAAATTTATGTATCTGATACATTTTTTGCATTTAATGTGTTTTCTAAACATATGCTATAAGCGGAATCATATTTAACTAAGCAAGAATTTAGTTGACCGCGAACGTATGAGGATGTGTATTCAATAATTGAATAGGATGTAGACAAGGGGTAAGTTAGATTAACATTGCAGAGGTAGCTTACCCTTTACTTTAGCGATGCTTGTTCTTAAAACCAGAACCGGTTAGAACCAGAATGCACAAAATTTTGTTAAATGTTTACAATACAATGATCATGTCACTCATTTGGTGTAAACACATGAGAATTGCGGCAAGTGGAAATATTATACAACAGGGTGTTTTTAAATGAAGTAGCCAAAATGGTACCATTGAATGTAGAGCCAAAAATAAGAGGATTGAAGTAACAATGCCTTATATGAAAGTTGCACCCCTGAGGTGATATACCCTCTTAAGGGAGGGAATTGAAATTCACATTTTAATTTTTTTCTTTAACATGAGGAATGCTAGAGACACGAAACTTGGTATGAGCATCCTACTAATAAAGAGACAACTTTTCAATATTTGTTCGATCATTGGCGTATTTCATAAAGGAGTGAAACAGTCAACCCCATTGCAATATTTTATTAGAAATTTTTTTATATGAAGCAAATTATTTATTTAAAAATATTTATTGGAAAGACTGATTTATTGCGCAACTTTTTTACCTCTTGTAATTTTTTTGTAATTGCGAATATTTGTAAAAATAAAATGGGCAGATGTCATAACAAATAAATTGTTATTTATCATATTAATAAATTGACACTTTCTGTCAATAAGCTGGTAATTTAATAATAACATTAACAATAATTTGCTATTAATTAATGAAAAATGTTTGATAACTTATGACCATCGGACATGTATTAGGTAAAGCTATTTATCTGAAATAAAATATAATACAAACGAAAAATAAGAAATGCAAAATTAAATTTAATGGATATTCTCGAAATAATTTCTATTTTGGTGCAAGCATCACCTAATACGTCTGTTGTACTCGCACAAATAGTTCTTGGTTATTGCGAAGGTCATCTGCTGCCTGAAATATTCTTAAGCCTAGTTCTTCTAAGGAGGCAGCAGGAGTGGCATAAACAATACTTTTTATGTGTCCCCATAAAAAGAAATCCATCGGCGTTAGGTCAGGTGAACGTGCAGGCCAACAAACAGGGGCATCACGACCAATCCAGCGATTCAGGTAATTTAAATTTAACCATTCTCTAACGGCAAGTGTACTATGTGTAGGCGCCCCATCGTGCATCACCTGACGTGTAGCGAGGGGTACATCCTCAAGTAATGTTGGAAGATTTTCGTTCAAAAATCTAAGATACTCGGCCGCTCCAAGCCTGTGTGGAAGAATAAAAGGACCTACTAACTAGAGTATTTCATACAATTCCCATCCAAATGTTTAAACTGAAATTATGTTGACATCTTAAAACAAATATTTCATGAGTATTTTCTTCCGACCATGAATAAACATTATGAAGGTTTACTGCGCCTACTCTAGGAAAATTTCCTTCATCGGTGAAAAGTATATTCATTAGGAAATTTAAGTCATGCCTGGAAATATTAATGTAGCATTGACAAAAACCCACGCGGTTAGGTAAATCAGGATCATTCAATTCTTGCACGGGTTGGTGAAAAGGGTATAACAAATTTTCATGAGCTACATTCCACACAAGACTGTGAGAAACTTGCAGTTGCCTGGACACCTGTTTTGTGCTTGTTCTAGATGTTCCAGTATAGCTTCCTCAGTTTCAACAGTTCGGATATTACGCCTTCTTCCGACACCCTCACGATTGGGCTGAAGTTTACTAGTTTCGCGAAGCCTTCTTTCCACCGAGGCCAATGTTTGTCTATGAGGAATCGGTCGGTTTGAATATCTTTGGTGGTATAATCTTATTACATCGTTACTATTTTTTCTGGATTCGAAAAACACTTGAAGCATGTCGACATATTCGTCATTGGTATAAATATTATTTGCCTTAATTATTATGATATTAAATTAATCAAATGTATTAATTATTGGTTGACAGAAATTGTCAACTTATTAATATGATAAATAACAATTTATTTGTTATGACATCCGCCTACTCGGTTTTATCGAAAAATTACTAGAGGTAAAAAAGTTGCACAATAAATCAGTCTTCCCAATAAATATTTTATTAATAAATAATTTGCTTCATTTAAAAAATTTCTAATAAAATATTGCAATGGGGTTGACTGTTACACTCCTTTATAAAATACGCCAATGATCGAACAGATATTGAAAAGTTTTCTCTTTATTAGTAGGATGCTCACACCAAGTTTCGTGTCTCTAGCATTCCTCATGTTAAAGAAAAAAATTAAAATGTGACTTTTGAAGAGGGTATGTCACACCTTCAATACTTCAATATTTTTGGCTATATATTCACTGGTACCATTTTTGCTACTTCATTTAAAAACACCCTGTATAAAGAAAATTATGTGATATAAAAAATTACGTACATCCACGGAAGGAATACCTACCAACAAATACTAAGGAAAAAAACATAGGAAACGGAAATCCGAGTATTTCGATATTTTAAAATTGGGGTGTTAATTGAGTCAAAATAAAAACTATTTATTTTTGCTTTTTTTTTCTAAAATGCATCCTTCAGGATGCTCAAAATTGGTTTAAAATGGCTGTATCTCCACAAGGAGGCAATTTATAGAAAAAAGTGCACGAATAAAAAGTGTTTATTCTGACCCTATTATCACGTCTAACTTCAAAATCTTAAATCATTTTGAACAAAAATCGAGATTTTGAGCTACTTTTTGAGGTTAGGGAAAACTCATGATGTGATGGAGCATTCCTGATGGCTCCATCGTCTTCAGCGGATCAAAATACAGGGATATCATACTCTGTTAAAAAGTATATGATTTTGTTGGACCTGTGTAAACTAAATGTCAGGAAAAAACTAAAACCATTACATTAATATTTATACATATTCTGTAAAAATCTTAATATATTCACATTTTTTTTCTGTTTAATTGGTATTAGGAGAATAACTTTTCCCCCAAACGAAGTGATTTTTATGAAACTATTTTTGCATAAACAAATAAGTATAGAAAAAGTAAAACTTGCCATAAATAAAAAACTTGAATCAATATAATTATTCCAAAATTGAATTTTTAAAATTATAGTCATTTAGAAGATCACTTAAACTACGTTCCCCCAAAAAAGAGTCGACACAAGATTACAATTATTTCCACTACCATCAATTTGTGGTGTACCTGATAAAATTATGCTAGCTATAAATATGTCCGTCTACCATTTTTTATGATTGTGTAAAATATTATATGTATACAATAATTATATAGCACAGGTTTTATATAAAAAAATAAACGCGAATAATAATATATACCTACCTACTTATAATAAATGTTACTATAATTACTCGTATGATTGAGAAGTACGAATATTATTTACATTCAGTTTCAAAGAACGATTTTTTTTATCAGTTTCAGCGAAGATTATCTACATCATCTTTATAGGTACATTTGGGCAATATCAAAAATAGTATTTTATCTAAAACCACATTTTGTACAATGGTACAACACAATCTAATATTGATTGAAACTCTCTGATGGTGATTATCCAGTAGATAACTAAGTCCAAAGAAAGTAGACTGGGTCTAAAAATAACAATTGTAAACCTAGTGATAACACTATTATCGTAAACAATATTTATTTGCATAAAAATTTGCCGCCTGCAACGTTGCGCTGTTTCCTGTTTTTAATTATCGTTTTACTTAATTACCCTATTAAGTCATATAAGGCGCTATAGTATCGACTAATATTATGATACATTAGCTACATTAGCGACATGCACGTGTAATTCACAATGGTGTATTTAAAATTCATACTCCGAAATATCAAAAACAATTTACAAGTACATTTCGATGACTAGTAATCAATTATTGACGTATGCGTTTCAAAAGTTGAAAAGAAATTTCAAAAATCGAATTTTCACTTAAACTTACCGTCTATTTTTAACGACTTGCTCTTTGTGGATACAGTTAAGTTAAAAAAGTGTACATGGTCCTTTACAAGCTCTGATAAACTTTGACAGATCCTAGCTGGGTTAATTTCAATTCATTTTTTTATATGAACATAGATCCGATTCGTTTTTGTTTAGAAGTTAGAAGCACTTTAAAAAATGTAGTTTTATGTTTCAATCAAAGTTGTCAGATAAATAAAAATGTTCATCAGCTGCTGATGAACGGTTTATCATAAGAATATATGAGCGAAATAGTACCACTCCATCTACCTTGAAATGACACCACTACAAGTTTACGGTTTGTGGTTGACTTTATAGGAAACATGAGAATATAAAACGTGAAATGAAATTATTACCTTCGACAATACTTGGTAATAACAATTTCATTTGAGGGTATCTGTTCTGATTAAAATCTGGGGGATTTAAACATTCTATAAATAGATATGTACACAAATAGTGAGTTGTGGTATCTTTTCAGGGGAATCCTAAATCCATAAATACTGTGTGTGTTGGTGGGTGTGTCCCACACTCCTTCTGACGTTGCACGATTTTCAGAAAATGCAACAGCGGTATTATTTTACGTAACCGTAATTCATCATCAAAATAAAATAATGTTTCTTTTGTGAGTACAAAATTCTAGATTCAACTGAAAATCATATATGAAAATTTTATTACTACAAATCTGTTTATTTTAAAGATAATATGATATGAAGAATAATTTCGACTAAAATTGGAAGCAAGTATGTGGGATGTTTCAGAAAGACCTCCCATAAATACAGGGGGTAATTGTACTACAAAAAAATAAGAATTTTTTGTCTTATGAACCATATGTTTATCTCCTCACAAAATAAAATTTAAATACAATTTTTACGAAAATGTCCAAACGGTACGAAATATTTTTATCAAATTTGGTATTCTGGCGTTTTTAAGGATGCCAAATACGCTGGTCTAATTATTTTTTTAATATTTCATAAAGGGCGCTAGTTATGCTACACTCCTATTACATTTTAAATTTTATTTTTTTTAAGGTTACGTTTTTTACCATTTGGGTAATAGGAATAGATAGTGTCCATTTCCATATAATGTTACAATCAATCAGCATTTTTTAACACACTAATCATTAATATTAATAATAAAAATTTACAGTTGAGAGTGTCTGCAAGGATATTGATAACTTATTTTGTGAGTGTGATATATCTACCTATTTGCATTCCATCGCATACATTTTTTAATTTCAAATAAAGTCCACAAGTTTAGCACTGGTCAAGCACTTGCTTCGGAAGCATATATTCTTTTGCTAAGGAAATATATAAAACCTTCTTTAGTATTTTTTTCTCGTATCAGACCTGTTATCAAATTGGCCACGATCAAAAACACTCCAAAATCAATCAAAACAGTTTGACATATATCAAACTATTGTTGTGTGAGTAATAGTTTTTACCAAAAATTTAAATAAAAATGCCTGGGGATCATTTAAATTACACAAATGAGGAATATTTTCATTTGTTTGTTGTTTATGGACAATGTGACAAAGTAATTTCAAGAACTGGTAGAGAATTTGCTGCACGATATCCAGAAAAAGAAGACTTCAGGAAATATGGGGTGTTCATGTTAGGTGAAAAAAGATGATTAATTCTCCGAAACTGATTTTCTTTTAAATGTTGTACATACATAATTCTATAATCATGCAAAATTTGAACATAATATAGCCAGTCATTGCCGTACAACTGCGAACGCTTAATCTTTAAAAAATATTGCTACGTTACTGCTTAAAATAAAGAAATGCATATTTTTCAATATCTTCAGATGTTTTATTAAAAAAACACTTTTGATTTTTTGTGCTAAAGTGTGAAGGTAGTTTTTTTGTAACTTACTTTACAAAAACGTGTCAATAAAGTCTCCTTATTTCGTTCATTATTATTATTATTCTAGACAACTTGCATTAAAATTATTATTTTGTATGCAAAGTAAGAGTACTGCTTTTTGTAAAATATCTGGTATTACGGTAAAATTTTGTGATTATAGAACACCGGAGTAGTATAGATAATTTAAAAAATTGCTTATAGAGTATGGAACAGCCAAATGGAATAAATTCAGTATCTCAATTATTATTGTGCACATTTATAAAAAATCCCGAGACATGGTGGATTCTGAAATGACATCTTGCAACGTAAAAATTTCATCCCCAAATTCAACCCTCTTCGATCGAGTGGCAGTTGCAACCCCTAAATTTTTAAATGAGAAGAAAGAGCTTGTGATACCTCATTTGAAAGGTATTTTCATTGCTTATTCAAATATACTATGGTTTTAATATTTGTTGCAAAAATTAATGGTCTGCTCAATGAAATTTATTACAATAAACAAAAATATAAAAACGGCGTTTTGTTCTTGCAGGCTAGCAAAAACAATTTCAGTGTTCTTTTTCAACATTTTCAACTAAAAAGAAGATATAAAAACTTACCAATTTTATTGAAAAAAAGAAAAATAATAATGGTTGCGGTTAGGTCGGTCACGCCTCAGATGTGGAAAACCTTAGAAAACATTTTCATTTACGATTGCAGGATATCATTTCAGAATCCAAAATCGACGTGTCTGAATTTATTCCATTTGACTGTTCCACACTGTATAACAAAGTCAACTTATTTTTACTTGTTCATAAAAATTATTACATCCAGTGTATTAAAAAACAACAATTTACAGGAATTTATACAAAAATTTCTTGAAAATCAGGAAAAACCGCATTTACCTACCTTAAAAAGTTGCGTTATTATTTCAAGAGAAATCTAATTGCATAAACACTGATACTAATGGGTGTGTCTCATACTACTTCTGACGCGGCTCAGTTTTCAGAAATACAACTGTGGTTTTGATTTATGTAAACATCAAAGTATTATTTATTTATTTAAGTTTGGTAAATAAATAATGACTCATCTGAAAAATGTTAGTTTTTATTTTGCATAAAACAAGAATTAGTGAGTTTATACAGTTCCTTTGGTTAGGTGGTGAGTCAATTAAATGACATTATTTTTATAAACCTCAATAGTATATTTTCTTTCAAAGACTTCAGAGTATAATATATCGACACTAATTTTGAAAGTTGCGTCGAGTCTCGAGGTCTGTTCATTTAAAACCGAATCACTCTGTGTACTTACAAAAATATAGCACTACGATATGAAATTTCACAACTTCGCTCCACATACCGGGAAAACGCTGTACCTACTGTTCTTATAGTTACCTAAAGGCCAACGAGTATAACGAATTCGTGTAGACGTTTTCTTCGAATATCGGTTATCTGTTGCAAAACAACATACGAAGTGTTTCATAGATTCCAGTTATTATATTTTTACCACTGATTCTATACTAAAGTGGCATCACTTGGGGATACTTTCATGACGTAAGAGAGGTATATCCACTTACCTCCATTTTCATATTGCATCTTATCAACCTAGATGCGGGAAGATATGTAAAACTTTAAATACCTACGTCACGTGAATTACCAGATATCGCTGGCCTAACGAAATGGCGATCCCATATTAAAAACTGCTTATAAAAGCATTGAATACAGGTCCGATACGATAGTCAAGTTTGTGCGTTTGTGTGAATGTTTTAAAAAAGGTGAAAAGTATAAAAAAATACCTTCTTTTTACAGGGTATATTTCTTATTATCTATTTTTATCTTAGATTTATTATTGAGTAGATTTTTAAAATAAAATATCAAAACCATTTTTTAAACAAACGTTTCGTCCTTGATCAGAAACATTATTAAAAATTTTATTACTTCTAAGAAAAATATGAAAATATTTAACTAAGCGAAATTTCAAATAATAATCATCAATATATTAATAATGGAAAAATGATTAAAAAATTGTGTTATTAAAAATTAAGGGCCAAATTCAGAGACTTCCCTAAATCTATACTAACCTTTCACTCATATCAAACTTATTCTCCACTCAACTTAGGGTGCCCTCATCTCATTCTCAATTCTGATATTCAGAAATGTGTCTAAATGAGTGACTAACTTAAGTGTGCATCAAACCACAAATTACTAGATAAGGGAACAGTTGGCTACTCAAATATTACCAAAAATATAATGACATCAATGAAAACCTAATGTCACATTTTTCTTTATTTTGAATTTGAATGTTGAAAATATATAGGTACATAATAAGTTACATTTAAATAATAAATAATCAAGATCACATTAAAGTCTAATTAATTATCTAGGAAACCTCGCAATTTCAAAAAATTGTCGTTTCAATATTTCCGTGTGGGCTGGAAATTTAATTAGTCTTGGTAAACTTCTTGCAAGTTCCTCGCTAATTTCTCGGACAATTCTGCAGACCGAGGACTGACTGATTGTGGCTACATCAGCATAAACTTGCTGAAAAGAAATTAAATTACATTTAAATCAAGATATGAATAATAATAAAAGTCATCAATACCTGATAAGACCCTGTTGCAAAAAACCGCAATGTCACATACAACTTTAATGCAGGGGAACTGGTAGTCCACGATTATCACCATCTCTAATGTTATGATAAACCATTGGAAGTACTGTAGTTTCTATAGTATCTCTTGAGAATCTAATACGTTGTATCAATTCACTGTTAGTGTACCTTTCAAAAGTATTAGAATTATCTCTCAATAAAATTCTGAAAATAAAATGGAAATATTAGTATTACTGCTAATTACAATAGGTAAACACTTTTAGTTACTTACCTAGGTACAGGTAAAAAACCATCAACATCTTCAACATAATTGAAAAATTCCCAAAAATCGTCTTCCATCTTACAGGATATGTATGTATGTAACAGAACTAATTTTTAAAAAAATAATTATAATTTATATATCGTTCACGTATAGAATATCCTTTATTGAATACCTTGACTTAATTGTTTGTAAAATATACTGCTATACTATTATGAAACCACAAAATTAATAAATTAGGGACATTTAAGCAAATGTCAAACATCACTAATATGTCACTCACCCAGTACTCATTTGTGAGGACAATTTGAGTATGATTTAAGTGACTCATTGAAGTAGAATTGTTTATGAATACGAGTTGAGTATGAGATAAGTGTGAGTGGAACTTTAGTGAGATCTATGAATTTGGGCCTAGGTGACGTTAAATGTAAACATTTATTATTTTAATAGAAAGGAATGTGGAAAAACATTGAAAAATATCATATTGACCATTTAGCAATTAATTATAATTGTTTTTCTTTGTTATTTGAACCAAAACGAAATCTTCACCGTATATGAAATAGGAATACATAATTTCTCTGACGATGTCCAACGAAAACAATGAAACAAATATGAGAAACCTGGGACATGTCGAAAAGTTTGAACGTCATAGCCATCTTAAGTATTTGCTTTAAAACAGTTGCAGTTCTAAAAATGTTCCTAAATTCTCACCAAATGTTGTTACATAGGGTGTCCCAGGATTGATGGTAAAAAATGAAATACATGTAAAAATGTGACTTTTTTGTTCTATGAACATGTGTCCTAAAAAGGACCCATTCCAAGCTACAATTTTTCAGATTTCAAAAGAAAAGTGATTTTCTTGATTATTCTTTGAATACGAGTCAAGATTGAAGCATTTGTGAGTTTATGTTTTTAAGTGTGCTCTATTTAATTCTGAATCAAAAAAAAATCTAGTTTACAGGAGGCTGCTGGCATCATCAGCAGTTCAGTGCAAATATATTGTTGCTGATCACGTGATAAGGTTTTTTTTCTACCTCATATTAAACGGAGAAAATTACCTAAATTTTCTAAAAAATGAATTGAACATTGTACTAAAAGATATAGCTTTAGGAGTAGTCCAACAAGGATGATTTATGCAAGATGATGCTGATGATAACCTAGCAAATTTTATAATTTATGATACCTCAATCTCCAGAGCGTAATCCACTTGACTTTTATTATTGGTATTTACTAAAGTCACTTATTTACTCACAATCAGAACAAATACCAACAGTTGAGGTACTCTAACAAAGCATTTTAAATGATTTTGAATGATTTTTTGGCTGTTTATAAGAGCCATTTCCAAAATTTGCTGAGAAAATTAATGTTTGAATAAAAAATACTATTTAACCAGTGCTAATTTTGCATGTCGTAACCTATTTTAACGCGTCAAAACGAAATAATTATTCACTAAAATATTACGATTTAACCAAACTTGCTTTAGTCCAAAAGTTAATACTTAGAAACATACAGGATGTCAAGGGGAAAATTTTATTTTCATTATTTCTAAATAACCTTCACAAAATTACAGATAATGCACAAATTTTGAGGATAGGAGGTTCTTTGAAACGATGAATTTATATTCGATCATAATTTTGCTGTTACTTATTAGAGGGCGCCACTTGCAGCATTTTACATGCCTTTGAAATCTTTGCACTTCAGTACATCTGCCTCTTTGACATTTCTTTTCATCATAAATTCGACATTTTATTTTCGGTGGGGATATCCTTATTTTCGCATATATTTGAAAAAATCCTTCATTGACCTCATGCGGATAACAGCCCACACCAAGACTTTCGAACAGCTTGGATTAAATATAGCTAGTATTCCTCTTTTAATATATTATTTTTTATTTCCTAGAGCCCCTGTGTACCTTTCAAGCTTTTTCACGCAAATGCACTAATATTAAGACAGCGTAACTTTATAAATCTCAATTAGTTTTTGAAGTTTATGTTAGGGTTGCTCAGGAGATATTAAATGTAAATGTAGAAATTGCAAAAAAATTGCTACAAACCAAGTTATATAGGTACAGAAAGGGCTTCGCCTTTATGAACTCTATATTTTGTTTATAGCCTTAAATATAACAGAAGGAAAGTAGAACGAGTTTTTTTTTTAAACAAAGATTTATATAGACTTTATTTTAAATCTTATAAGAAATAATTTGTTACCAATTTATTTAAACTGATAAATGTATTTTTAAAAACGTGTTTAACTTTTAAACCTGTTCCAATATACGAGAGGCACAAGTTATTCAAAAAGTTAAGTTTCTCTTGAGCTGAAAATATTTTTTCCCGTCTTAATGGTAATATGTATAAATAAAACATAAAAAAACGTAATGATTATGATAACAACTGACTATAGATTCACAAACACTTCTGAAACTATTAAGTATGTAGATATCACATACAAAAAGACAGACAAACGCCAAATAGCATTCACAAAAAACAAAAAAAAATGGGACAAATAATCGAGCAAACATTTTTCTTCGCCTGTAATTGTGTTTGTATCTACAACTTATTTTCATTATGTTTCATCTTTGATTGTATCTAAAAATACTTCCACGATAATATATGCCCATTAAAATTAATCACTTTTACGGATAAACAGTTTCTTTAATAAATTAGTCTGTTAAGTCTAGGAAAAAACCGATATTAAATTTTATCACAACACTGCACTAGAATTTAACCTCTTTTGAGAAAAACTTTGAATCAATGATCTTACAAAACAATATGTTATGATCTAAATAATCATGGCAGAATGTATTCAAAATTTAGTGAAAATCCATAGTGTTTAGTTCACCAATGACTATTATTTAACCGGTAAGTTGTTTTTCTTCAAACAAACAATTAAATTTAAAAGTTAAAGAGAAATTTGTTCATATCAGAATAATCATTCGTATTATAGTAATATGATATTTAAACATTAATTGTTTTCCTTCTATTTATTTGGATATTTTTACACATGTAAAAAAAATAATCAAAGCAGCTCTTATGAAACTATTTTACCTATTAAAAAAATGTACAATTAAAAATAGCAGACAAAAAAACATATATACTTCTGTAAAGGTTATTTTAATAATATTAGTCATAGATGGCAATGTACCACAAATAACTAATTTCAGGCAACATTAGAGTTATATTTTGATAACAAAACAATTTAATTTATCAAGTAACAACTTGTTACAATAAGATTTGTAACTAAAAAAAATAAATCAAGGTTATGTCGAAAATACCGCCTTATAAACTAATGTAAATGAAAATGAAAAAAATTGTAGATCACTATTACAAAATTGCTGTTATTAATAATCACTTCTATTATTATTTGCATCGGTGATTTACAACTAAATTAGATCCCGTTTAGTCATCAATGATACTGATGTTATCGCACCTGTCAAATTATAAATTGAAAACTTCGGTTTCAAAAACAATACCTGGATTTTCCTACCTACCTCTATTGTATGTTGATCAGATTAATAAAACTTGAAACCTTAGTACAGAGTTCCGGACTACGTGGAATAAGATTATTATCCATCAGTTAAAATAATTTTTTCATATGATTTTTATTAACCACATTAAAATAACAGTGCTTCTGTTTTTGGTTTTCCTCAGGTTGAATATCTATTTACGTTTGTCCCTTTATTCTACAGGGTATTGCTTGGTCGGAATTAAAATAAAAATTCCAAATGACGGGCAGCTTGAAGATGATATTTCTATATGGGTTTCTTTAATAACGTAAGTTCTAAACCAACTGACATATTGGTACCAAATTTTATACACGATTTTGGTTATTTATTGATGACATTTATAGTTAAAGAATAATGGGTTGCGGGAATCCCAGTTTGTCATGGCTGCCGTGATAAAAAAATTAAATTGTTTCTTAAGTTTATAGCATACAAGATTATGGTAATTGACAACATTATTGATATTGATAATAAATATTACTAAGACTATTACTCTAGTTTTCAAGTCAAATTACAGAATATCATGATTATGTGACTAATATTACAAAAATAATCAAAGAAAGCTATAATTTTATCCTCACATACAAATAAACGTTTCTAAATAATACAGACGACTATTTAAAATGTGTAGATTAATTAGTTTGTAATCATTAGTATGGAAAATATATTGTACAATAGTATAATATTTATTTATTATTCACGTAAGATTAGTGCAGGTTGTAAACGTCATAACCAAAGTGATTACAAAGAGGAAAATAGTAAACAACTATTCATGGTTAAAATATAAATAAACAAGTAAGAATTTACTTAACTATATTAAAATTAATTTAGGTAAATCATAATTATTAAAATTATAACTTATGGTATATCTACACTAGATTAAAATTAAACACTTAAACAATTTTTGGCAAGATAGTAATTTGTTCAATTTAATCTACAGAGTGTTCAAAAATTTGGAAAAGGTAAAAACAGTGAAGAGTAAAGTACCTTAAATCTTAACGCTACGTGAAAAAGTAATGGGGAAAAGTAGCTTGGAATTACATTTTATGTTTAAATATGAAAGCATGGCCTTCTAGTTAATACTCGACATTCTGGGATATTCTAGGACTCTACTTATGTTTTAATACTTTTGGAGAAGCCATTCTATTTAAAAAATATTGCTTTATTGAAAAACAGATACACAGGTTTGCATATTAATAATTTATTTTTTATACAGGAGGATCAAAAACCTCAAAAACATAATCTAACTTTTATTTTGAGAACAAAGCAGAATCAGTATGTACGCGCCATTACAAAACTATTCTACATGAAGTCCACCAAGTTCAACGCACCTCAATCTTTTTCTAAATGCAGTGTAGGTCGAATGTATCATTTCTTCATTTACTTGGGCAATAGCTTCAATTATCCTGCTTTTCAAGAAATCAACATTGTGTTGCACTGGTTCTCTGTACACTCTTTCTTTCAAGAAGCCCCAAAGGAAATAATCAAAATACCAATAAATTTGTAGAAGGCAATTGTTATCAATAATTGTTTGACATTAGGTGTGACATTAGGTGTTGATATTTAATTTTATTCAAATAATGCTTACTTTACAGTATCGCATTTATTTTGTTAAATGTTACGGTATCGGTAAAATTTCTTATAGCCAAGCAATTGAATTGTTTCATGAAAAATATCCAGATGTTAAATTTGATTGAACTGGTGATGTAAAAAACGTAAAAAGGTCAAAAAAGAGACACGATGACGATGATGCAACCACAATACTAGTTTTGAATTCGCTAGAAGAAAACCCGAGACTGTCACTATACGGAAGATATCTAAACAAATCGATGTTAGCAAGACACATATTCAGAGGATTTTGGTAGAAAATAAGTTTAAGGCTTTCAAACCAAAAGTAATTCACACTCTAAAAGTTGGTGATGATGCACATCATTTGGAGTTCTGTTTAAAGATAGGAGAAAGGATTATGGTAGATAGACATTTTCACAAAAATATAATTTTTTCCGATGAAACCACTTTTTCTACCAATGGAGTGGTATCGTCGCAAAATTGTTGTTTTTGGTCGCAAAAAATCCTTCCTTTACAGTTACTTCAAGAAGTTAAAGGTTCAAAAAAGTAAATGTTTGGTGCGCGATTACTTTCAACCGAATAATTGGGTCAGACTTTTTTAAGCAAATTTAAATCAATATATTTACCTGGAGATGCTAGACACGTTTTTCTGGCCAGAATTAGAAGAAGAACATTTGGAATATAGACAAAAAGCGTATTTCCAACAAGACGGACGTCCCGCTCACTCAACAATTCTAGTCAGCAATTGGCTTAACAGAAAATTTCGAGAGAAGTGGATAGGAAGATATGGTCCCCTGACTTGTCGTCACTTGATTATTTCCTTTGGGGTTTCTTGAAAGAAAGAATGTACAGAGAACCAGTGCAACACAATGTTGATTTCTTGAAAAGCAGGATAATTGAAGCTGTTGTCACAAGTAAATGAAGAAATGATACATTCGATCTACGCTGCATTTAGAAAAAGATTGGAGGTGTGTTGAACTTGGTGGACTTCGTGTAGAATATTTTTGTATTGGCGCGTACATACTGATTCTGCTGTGTTCTCAAAATAAATGTTGGATTAATATTTTTGAGGTTTTTGATCCCCCTGTCTACAATATAAATTATTAATATGCAAACATGTGTATCTGTTTTTCAATAAAGCAATATTTTTTAAATAAAATGACTTCTCCGAAAGTATTAAAAAATAAGTAGAGTCCTAGAATGTCCCAGAATGTCGAGTGTTAACTAGAAGGCCATGCTTTCATATTTAAACATAAAATTTAATTCCAAGCAACTTTTTATTTTATACAAAAATACGATAAATATACATAAACCACATGTGACATTCTGACAGTTGTCAATTTCGATGACTTTTGCACGCGCTAAGAAATAGTTACTTCATTTAATTACTCTTTATAAACAGGAAACTGTAACTTTTCAGATTTATGATTTAGGGATGCGCTACCATATTGCCAACTCATCAATATTAGGTAAATTTTGTCCCATATAAAAAATGAGGATAATTAATAAAATTAAGAATCACTCTGTAGCTTTTCCACTTGGTATTATCCCCTACATACCTTGAGCATAAATTGACTCTTTGTGGTTAAGACTAAATTATTAACACAGGTAACCACATTTATAAAAAATAGTAATTCAATTTGTCGCTTTTCAGGTTATAAATAAACGAAGGTACCGCATCGCTCATTCACTAGTCAGCCATGAAACGGTTAACAATAGTATTGGTAGCTCTGTTCAGCTACGGCAATGCCAAATCAGAAACCCCCCAATCGTGCGACAGCCCCGTATACTGTCAAGGAGACCTGCTAGATACAGTACAAACATTCCAAATATTCAGCGATTCCAAGACCTTCGTGGACATGAGCCAAGTCAACTCGGTGAACAAAACTCTCGACAATTTCAAGAAATTTATGAACAGTACCAACAACAACCCGACTAAAGAAGAAGTGAAAACATTCGTAGAAGAAAATTTTGTCAGCAAAGGAGAACTGGAGGATTGGACACCTCCTGATTTCAACAGCAACCCCACCTTTTTAAAGTCTGTAGACGACCTAGTCGTCAGGGACTTCGCAAGGACCTTGGTCAGTATATGGCTGGACCTAGGCAGGAAAGTAAAGAGTGAGGTTAGCGAGGACCCTAACAGGTACTCCCTGATCCCTCTACCAAACGGTTTTATTGTACCTGGGGGCCGGTTTCAAGAGGTTTATTACTGGGATTCCTACTGGATCATCAAAGGGTTGCTACTCAGCGAAATGACTGACACAGCTCGTGGTATGCTAGAAAATTTCCTTTCGCTCATAGAAAGATACGGATTTATTCCTAATGGTAGCAGGGTGTACTACTTAAATCGATCACAACCACCCCTTCTAGCGCTAATGGTTGGTTTATACATGGAAAATACTAACGACGTCGACTGGTTGAGGCAGTATATCGACGTGGTGGAAGAAGAGTTGAGATGGTGGCTTAGCAATAGGGTAATCGACGTAGAAAAAGACGGTGTCAAGTATACTTTGGCTCATTATGCGTCCGAGAGCGGTACTCCAAGACCCGAATCTTATTTCCAGGATGTTACTACGTGTTTGGCATTCGAAGATCAGACTGATAAGGTATGTTAAATATTTTAACTTTTTACTTTGTGTGTGCCAGTTTATACCTTGATAACTTCAGGAGTAAGTAGAACAAAAAAATAAACGTATCGTTGTTTTAAGAGATTTTTTGAAATCTATTATGGATTTCGAGTAATACATATCATTCAGCATTGATTTAACTGATATAAAGACTATTCAAGAATTTAGCTTTTACGTTTAAAGGAGTAATTCTATACATAAAAATAAAAAAAAATTCGTATGAACACAATCCCTAAAGCTAGTCTAAAAACTTTTCCAAATATGTATGAGTTTTATTTTATATTTCCGGAAATGTCATTGAACCCTGGAAAGCATGTTAAAAAGCTTATTCATATATAAACTTTTTTCTTATTTATATGCAAGTCCTGTAAATCAGAATCAACTCCAACCTATTTTATTCGAAGTTCTTAGCAAATATCAAAATTTCACATGTACAAAAATCTATAAAATTGAATTTTGTAGTAGAGAATGTAAACCACAGGCGCACAGGATTGTCAAGGAGTGGAAATCCCGAAAAATAACGGTCTATGTGGCATTTTCTTACATATTATTCTAGTAATATATCATAGTTAAATAAATTAAGACACATACCATCTAAATTTCTAGCTCAAATCACTTTAAAGTTGTTTCAACAAATGTTTTTTCGCGAACATCTGGGAAACGAAAATTTTCCATATAAGTTTATGTAATAAAGTCAATTCATATTCACTTTGTCTACCTATTATCGCATTTATCAAGATAAAAACTGTTCTACCCGGTATAAAGGTGGTAACAGTAATATAAAAGTGTTTCGAATAAAAGTTAAACCAAAACAGTGTCCTCACAATTTATAATTATTTTCAATTATACTGTGTGCCTCATTTCCCCTGCGTAACGTCATTTTTTCCCCTTTAATGGACTGTAATTTTTTAGGGGAGGATCCAATTGAATTTTTTTTTATGAAAGATCCCCCTCCCCCTTCCTTAAAATTTACCGAGGAATGCAGTCCTGAATTTTTTGTACGCACTTATCCAACATTTTATAATCTTAAAACACCTTAATATTCAGTAATATCAGATCAGTGAGTTTAACTAATTTAATAGAATCCATAGCAGTTAAGTCAATTATTCACATCTCCCTCATTGGTTGCTTGGGATACTTGATAGTACCATCGTAAATTTAATTAATAGTATATTACACAGATATTAATAATCTCAGCTTTTTATATCCCCGCAAACACCCACAGACCATAAAATTATTTAGTAATTTTAGAATTGATTTCTAAGTCACAATTTTTTAGTGCAAGTCTATTGTGAATGAATCAAATTAAAAGTTATTTATTAACTAAAATAGATTATTTATAAATAATGTCTACCTTGTTTATAAATAAACGATCTATTATTACGGAGCCATATTTTTTGTTTTCACTGGAAATTAAAGTTTAAAGATACGAAAAATAACAGTTTTGAAATAATAATAACAGATAAAACATTTATCTCTGTGCAAAATTGGATATGATATCACCATTTTATTTTGAACAGATTTTTCTACGTAAGATTTAGCCACCGTTAAAGATTTCCAAGCACCGTAACTCTTTAATTTTAAAACGTTTCCTCTTGCAACCATGATTGCAGATGATCATCTACACAAGACAAATTTGAGGATAACAAATGCTTAATTTATGCAAGTTGTATTTTATGAATGCGTTGGCAATGGCAAAAATTGCTGCAACGTAAAATTATCAAATTCTATTAGTGGCTTTTATAAAATATAAACCGTTAATGTAGAAAAATGTCTAAGATTCTACAGGGCCTTCATAAATACTCGAGTCCCACGTGATCGCTACTGTTAGATAACCAAACTTACAATAGAGTCAATGATTAACACAAAATTCCCTAATTGTAGAAATAGAATCCAGTGAAGTACATATTACAATTCTTTACAAACGTTGAACTTTAATCTGCAAAATCTATTTGTTTTTTTTTTTCAATAGAAAAGAAACATTTTTTACATTTTTGTTTACAAAATAATCATACTCTTCTGAAATATTTTGAATTTTTATTCCATTCTACAGGGTGGGCCACCAGTAACGCCTCGGTCGCTAGTGACCAAACGGCAAATGTTACAGAAACCTGTTTAGGTGGGTATGTGTAGGTTGATTACGGCTACATTTTAAAAATATTTTGAAATATACAGGGTGTCCAGGAAAAGCGTACCATATCAAAGTTATGTTTTTTTAAATGGAACACCCTGTATTTTACTGCATTTTTGAAAGCACCGTAAAAAAATAGGTGAACTTTATTAAAGGTTCTGCATACCTAGGACTTACAGTTTGTGAGATATTTCAATTTTAGTGAAAATGCAGGCATAGCGTAGAAATTTAATATTAGCAATAAAAAAATAATTTTAAGGAAGCAGCTTTGGAGGGTCTATTTTAGATCCTTGAAGTTATAAATTGTTATATTTGTCGTCGCTTAGTATTATACAGGGTGTTCAAAAAACTGCTGAATACTTCTCTCAACTTTAAACAGCAATAACTTGGTTATTTTAAATGGAACACCCAGTATATTTTTACTTAGGGAGTTGTGAAATTTAAAACTCTTTCAAACTGTGTATAGGTTCCCTATACCTATCTCTAACGGTATTGGAGATATTTGTGCCGTTTCGTTTTTTATAGATTTTTTTTGTAAGATGTATCCACGTGTCTTTATCGAGGTCATTACTGAATTGGTTTGGGTTCTTGATGACGTCGCTTTAAATATATTGAGAAAAATGAGGATGCAATTAGATGGCGCGCCTGCAAATTTTTTCATATTCAGTGAGAAATTATTTAAATTGAAAATTTAGTAATAAATGGATAAGTAGGAATGGTGCATGTCAGTGGCCACGTAGGTGTCCAGACCTCACCGTAATGGACTTCTTTGTTGCGAGCTATATAAAAAATCTTGTATACAATGTTCCACCTATTACTTGCGATGATATTGGTGGGAAGGATTAGAGATGCATTTGCGTGAGAATATCATTTGAAGATAGAATAAGATGATGTATTCAAGAGAATGGTTATCAATTCGTCATCAATTAAAATTTTTCTTTGTTTTTTCTAAAAGTAAAAGTTCCTTTTATCATTATCATGAAAATATTCAAAAAAGTTTTCTAATAAAAAATATTATTTTATAAGCAGAATGATTATAAAAAGTTATTAATTTTGTATAAATATGTTTGTAGTAAGTAACTGAATTATTTATGAACAAGAAAAATATTTATTAAAGAAAATTTTACTTTTAGAAGAAACAAAGAAAAATTTTAATAGATGTTCGAATTGATAACCTTTCTCTTGAATACAGCATCTTATTCTATCTTCAAATGATATTCTCACATTCCTTAGAATAGTTATTTGGGGTGATATATCTAATCCTTTTCTTCATATCATCGCAAGTAGTAGGTGGAACACTGTGTACAAGATATATATTTATACAGCCCGAAACAAAGAAGTCTATTACGAGAGGTTTGGACACCTGTGGTAGCCACTGACATGGACCATTCTTACCTACTCATTTATTACTTATTTATCGATTTATATAATTCCTCACTGAATATGAAAAATGTGCAGGTGCGCCATCTAATTGCATTCACATTTTTCTCCTTATATTTAAAGAGACGTCATCAAGAAGAACCCAAACCAATTCAGTAAAGACCTCGATAAAGACACGTGGATACATCTTAAAAAAAAAATCGATAAAAAACGAAACGGCACAAATATCTCCAATACCGTTAGAGATAGGTATAGGGAACCTATACACAGTTTGAAAGAGTTTTAAATTTCCCAACTCCCAAAGTAAAAATATACTGGGTGTTCCATTTAAAATAACCAAGTTATTGCTGTTTAAAGTTGAGAGAAGTATTCAGCAGTTTTTTGAACACCCTGTATAATACTAAGTGACGACAAATATAACAATTTATAACTTCAAGGATCTAAAATAGACCCTCCAAAGCTGCTTCCTTAAAATTATTTTTTTATTGCTAATATTAAATTTCTACGCTATGCCTGCATTTTCACTAAAATTGAAATATCTCACAAACTGTAAGTCCTAGGTATGCAGAACCTTTAATAAAGTTCACCTATTTTTTTACGGTGCTTTCAAAAATGCAGTAAAATACAGGGTGTTCCATTTAAAAAAACATAACTTTGATATGGTACGCTTTTCCTGGACACCCTGTATATTTCAAAATATTTTTAAAATGTAGCCGTAATCAACCTACACATACCCACCTAAACAGGTTCCTGTAACATTTGCCGTTTAGTCATTAGCGACCGAGGCGTTACTGGTGGCCCACCCTGTATATTGAAAAAGTATTCTTTGATTGAACGTTGTCCTTTAAAAATTATGGGCTCTTTGGTAACCCATTTTCATTCAAGGATAATGAAAATAATGTTAATAAAATATAAAATATTTCAGTGTTTTATTAATTTTTTTTTTCAATATTTAAATACAATTTATAGGTTAATTAATTTACCATGCAATGCTAACATAAACAAAGTTTTTTATCCGTTTTCTTGAAACTGTTACACTGATACCCCAGACTGAGGATGTAACGATATTTCAATAAAATTATGTGGATTTTCTGCAGTACGAGTTCTATACACCTGAATATTTACATATCCAGATAAATGTACCCATGCTTCATCCGAATAAAACGTCAGATCTAAGGAATTATCGTCGTTTAAATGTTCAATAAATCACATCTACAATATCGTACTCGTTGGTTGTGATCACATAGGTACATAACTCTTGCACAACAAAAACCTTATAGGGACACATACCGCTGTTTCTTTAATGTCTTGTGACAAGTCTTGTTGACAACACTTGTTGTAAATACACAAATTAACCAGCGCTGGATTTTATATGTTGATAAAAAATACATTCTAAAGAAATTATAATATTAAAAATATTTCTAAATTATTTAATTATTAATTATTTTTTAACTTTAGCGTTATGTTAAATTTACATAATTCAAAGTATATTAAGTATATCGCAGTATCTGTTTGCTAGATAAGTGCGAAACTATTTATTGTCGAATATCTTTATAATCCAGGCGAATTAGACCAAACACATGCCTATTTCAAAAATCGGGCCTAACTCGAATTTTATGGTCTTAAAATTAAAAAAAAAACCTGAATTTGTGTATTTGTAGAGGTCGAGCGTCATATTGTTTATAACAAAAAAAAAATAATAATAATTGCTTATATCTCCAAAAATAAGCCTCTAATCAACATGAGGTATACTTATCGATTTTATTCCTGAGGAAATTTGCTAAAAGAATAGGATTCTGCGAAGCGAAAGCTCGCAAATTTTTTTTTACATTGCAAAATTAACGGTGTAAAAAAAATGTGCAAAATTTTCTGTATTTTTGACTGAAATTGGATGAAACTACAGGAAAAGATCACTGTTGGGGTGCTCAACAAATACTCGCAATCCGGAGTAATTACATTATCTCGCGTCTGTGTAAATTTCAGATTTTTAAGTTTTAAAATAAAAAAGTCATTAACAAAAAACCAAAAAAAAAACGGTAACTAGTGTCCTTATCTTGACGGTTTTTTAATATATAGATTTCAAACCAATTGCATCAAATAGTGCTTAAAAAAACATTTAAAAAAAAGCGTCTTGATCCGGTCAATAGAAGCCGAAAATTTTTTTTTTAAAAAACGGTATTCTTTCTGTTCTATTTAATAATTTGCAATAAACTTGGGCTCATTGTAAAGTAGAAGACTTTCTTTATACGCTGAATTTTTTTAATGGATTCGATCAACAAATGACCAAGTAAACGTGCGTTAAAGAAGAAAAACACAGACATTCTAGTAATCACTGCAAAATTGTACAAACAATAGGCATAAAAAAAACACCAAAAATTACGAACGCCCGTGGATTGTCATATCATCTAGGGTCCCTAGTTGGTAATTTTCCTTAGTAATTTCTGAAACACCAACTTAAGAAAATAAAATTTACTGAGCGTCAAAACAAATCTGGTCACGTCACTGTTTTATATGATTTGCCTTTCTGAAAAATAAGAAATGGCACATTTCCTATAACATTCTTCACTTTTATTGAAGCACACCAGTCGTTGAATCGCTTATTTACAAAAGATTGATATACTTTTCTATAAATATTTTAAAAAGATGACCATATCCCACGAAAATTTGCACAATCGAAATTAAAACACTGTAAAACACGCCAGTAAAAATATTAGATACTGTTTTTAAACACCATTCACTTCGTTTGTATTTAATTATTATTAATCTATCCATTCACGCAATTTTTAGGCTGATTTTATCTTTAATAACTATAATCTGCGAGAAATTATTAGCACTTTTAATATAGGTGGCACATACATAATTTTAGGAATTGGATACTTAATTTATCTTTCTCTTTTTTCAGGAAAATTGTTACAAAAACCTCAAAAGCGGCGCCGAGAGTGGCTGGGACTTCTCAACAAGATGGTTCTTCGACGCCGAAGGTGGAACCAACACCAACCTCACCGGCATCCAAACAAGACGAGTCATCCCCGTGGACCTCAACTCCTACCTCTGCAAAGCATTCAAAGTTATGGCCCAACTGTACACCCTAATCGGAAACGACAAGAAATCCTACGAGTGGCAAGAAAAGTCCTCCTCCTGGCAAAAATCAATAGAACTAGTCCTGTACGATAAGGAGGACGGTATATGGCACGACTACGACACTGTCCTCTCCCAACACAGAAAACTGTTCTTCCCTAGCAACTTCGCCCCCCTCTACTGCGACTGCTACGACACTTCCTTCCGTAACGAATACGGATCTAGGGCGGCCAAGTACTTCGTGGATCAGGGAATCAACGACTATCAAGGTGGCATACCAACATCTCTGGAGCGGAGCGGAGAACAGTGGGACATGCCGAATGCCTGGCCCCCTCTACAAGAGATAGTCATCCTAGGTCTCAAAAATACCGGTAACTTGGAGGCGTTGAAGATCTCTAAGAACTTCGCCAAACGGTGGGTAGACGCTAATATCAGAGGCTACATCAGCAACAAGGAGATGTATGAGAAATATGACGCCATTAATTCTGGCGAATACGGAGGAGGTGGGGAGTACACAGTCCAGGCCGGATTTGGGTGGACGAATGGCGTGGCACTGTCTATTATAAATACTTTTTATGTCAATGATGAGAAATATAAATTAGCTAGGAGGCGCTAAAAGTGGATTTTAATTTTTCTGTCTAAGAAGTTATATTTCGAATGGCTGCAAACATCCATAAAAAAGTTCAACATTGATCACATATGATTAAAATTAATATTGAGCTTAACTGCAAACTTAATTTTTATTAATACACGGGGTGGATCATTTTGTTGATAAATGTACTGGTATCTCGGAAATTGAAAGAAAATAAGTCTCTCCAAAGAGCTAGAGCTAGTCTCCGAACACCAATAAATTGGTACCAGAATGGTATAAAATTTTCTCTATTGAAATATTTTTCTAACGGTTTCCGAGATCTCAGTCCCCAAAATGACCTACACGATGTATTTCAGCAAAATCACTGAATATTTTTTCGAGATTCTTTGGTAGAAATATGAAATGCACAGAATAACTACGGGCAGCTATGAATTATCTGATCTAAAGATCCATATTTCAGCAACAAATGGATTTACAAGAGAAATTTAAAATAGGTCTTAAATGAGATCTCAAGTAGAATTTGTCAGCTTTAAAAATAGGAGGAGAACTAAATTATTTATTTAACTAAACACCCTGTAAAAGTTCACACAGTTAAATAGGGTTACAGTGATTTTTTGATAAATCAATCTATCAATAATATGAAAGAAGACATGGTCAAATGTGTGTGCATAAAAGTTATGTGTTAGAGACTTAGTGCCTAGCACATTAAAAATTGATCCCGTACTTGTCTATATGGATGGCAAATAAGTTGGTCAGAGTAGCTCAAAAAATAGGGGTAAGCTTACATTAATTCGCATAAAGCTGAAAATTGGTACGAATATTGGAAATCCATTATAAATGAAATGTGAAAAGTCCCCAGCGATCCCACATTTACAAAAAAAATAATTCAAGGTCAAAGTTCGCAAATATGGGATTTTTACATTTTTTAGCCAAACTTTAAGTTTTATCATAAAAATAAGTCAGACAAGATCATGGAATTATCTATAAAAATAGTTCTTACACATTTTTTTCTTAAGAATCACCATTTCTGAGATATAGCGATTCAAAAAGTTGAAAAGTTGTGTTCTCCATATGCCACCTATGACATAGTGTACTTGGCGCGTTTTTTTTTTGACGTAGTTTCCCCGGTAAGCATATTCCACGTTCTATTGTGGTCCTGTTTAATTAAATAATATTGTATTAAATAATAAATGGTACTATTGGAAATGATGAAAGCGGTGTGAATTATGAATAATTGGGGAAAACTATTCGTTTGATTGATAATTATCTAAGGAACTTCAAGTGTAATGTCTTCTTCTTCTTCTCTTCCTTCTTCTTCTTCCTGCTGCATACAAGTAAATTGTTCTAACAGCGATGCATCAGATGTTTCCTCGCTGATATCGTAAGAATCCTCTTCTGATGGCGATTCAACATTGGAGCACGACTGGCCTTGACAACTGTTACATGCTAATGAACAAAACAATCAAACTTTTTAGCAGCCGCACTTAGCACTACACTCCTTTTTGCAATTGCAAAAAATGGTATTGAGAAGTTTTTCCGGTGCATGTGGGAGTAAAGTCTGGATTGGTTCCAATGTATTGTCAATTAACTTCCAACCCCAGTCTTCTGGGTCCAGTTGATTACCAAGCCACACTTGAACTTGATAATATACACGAAATAGATATTGATGAGCAGAAGCAGAGGTTGGGCGAAGACAAGCTAATTGCACTCGTTTATTGTTACGATTATTTTTTACAAAAGATAAGTACTAACTTATCTAAGCAGGTAGTTTTTCTTGGAACCCCATATGTACACAGAAAGAAGTAAGCGAATTCCGTTGATGATTACAGCTTGTGGAGTACAGTTACTCTCTTTAAAAACTTTAGCACAATTAAGTAAATCTTGTTTTTCAAACAATTGAAAAAACTGTTGTTTTACCCCTCCTGAAAATTATCTATATCAGAAATGGTGATTTTTAGGAAAAAAGTACAAAAACAATTTTTGTAGATAATTGCATGATCTGCAATTTTTTCATATTTTCTTGATAAAACACATTTGGATGAAAAATGCAAAAAAAAAAACATATTTGCGAACTTTGACCTTGAATAAATTTTTGTGCAGATGTGGGATCGATGGGGAACTTTTCACATTTCATTTATAATGGTGTTCCCAACATTCGTACTAATTTTCAGCTTTATGCGAATTATTGTAATCTTGTCTATTTTCACAATTTTGAACGTTGATAGAATGTTAGTGAGAACAAGCATTTAAATCGGATAATTCTCACAATCATTCTGTACTTACTTCTTGCTTAAAATAATTCTAAAATTACCAAGTACCAAAAAAATCCAATTTATAATCAGATGACAAATTTGCGTACTTAGTTACATGTTAGACACTAATTGACTAACTGAGGTATATTGCTTTTAACAAGATGTAAGTATTATTGAAATAAAAACAGGTATTATCAGTAAATTCACTAGAAGATACTAAATAATCTAAAATAGCTTTTTTGTTAATTTCAATTTATTAAAATAAAATGATTTACTAATCATATAATCCAATAGAAAATTTTTGTTTGAATTTACCAAAAGTATACCGGTAATTGATTTTTTAAAATACAGTTACCATTTATTGTAAATAATAATTTAATTTTATCGTTAATAGTTCCTACACAGATAAATTAAAAATTAAGATACTTGAAACAACGTTCCTTAAACCTAACTTGATATTTCCTTGAAAAAAAAATATTTAATTCAACGTTGTAGTAGGTATGTCATAGAACACTATCACTTTTTTTAGTGTGTAGACAATATTTTTTCGAAAATATTTTAAGGATTCTATACATGAAATACAAAAGTGATATTATGATGGATATAACCTAAGGAATATTAATTTCTTCTTAGAAATTACCTTTACATTATATTAGATAAAGAAGGAAATGATGAAATATATCTATAGAAGCTTAATAGAAAAAATATTATGTCGAAAATATACTTTCATTTGTTTTTAGAATTATTAGTTGTTAAATATTTTAGTTAAGTAGAAGGAAGAATACGCTTATAGGTAGGTAAGACATGCTATTTCAATGTAAGATAAGTGAAGTGTAGATTGTTAAATAAATCTTCTATCTATGAATAAATATATACTTATTTTCCACCATTTGCTTATTTACATAGTTAATCCACATAAGGTAAGGTGAGTATCTAACTACCTGAAATCAATGAAGGAAAGACAAAAATATTTTATGCAAAAGTAATAAACAATCAATTTCCTAATTGTTTTAAACTATTCTTTACTTCCTATTCTTAAATGTGATTTAAATTTGATAAATAATTAAAGAATACGGAAATATACAGGATGTTTAAAAGTGAATGAGATAATTCAAGGGTAGCTTCTTTCAATGAAAATAAACCAATATAGAACGGGTTACCTTAGCACAGGGTTACTTCCTTAATAATTGACCACCATCAAAAAATTAATGCATTATCTTCGGATTACTTCGTCAGTTTTTTAGATTTTCATCTTCAGCATGTTGCATGTCTCTAAAACGCATTTTTTCAGAGAAAGCTGCAAATTTAACAAAATAATAATAATAATTTTATAAATAACCAAATAGTGCATAGGGTTACCGTTGTATAAGATTTAGGAGTGTACTTGGACAGTAAGATGAGTTTTGCTCCACATATAGATTATATTTGTAATCAGTGCAATAAAATGCTAGGTTTCATAATAAGAACATGTAATGACTTTAGGGATGAAAAGTCAATGAAAATCGTTTATTTACAGTAAATTTTGCGAGTGTTACCTGGAACCCCACTTATAACATATACGTGGTGTCCCGGTACTTGATAAAAAAAAATCAAGTACAGACAGATGAGGTCAAAATAATATCAATTCTTCAAATAAATTTTTTCCATACGGGCCTTCGTTAACAAGTTACGGGCCCTCAAAGTTTAAAATCTTATTTTTATTTATAGCCTCTAAACTATTAACTTCAGCATGATCCAAATTTGGTGATCGATAACACATGCGTACAGCTTGTTTTTGATGTAGTAAGTGAAACTTCATTATGCCCAGAACTCCAGGTACGGACTATGCCCAATGGTTAACAACCTAGAATTTTTGCATAGATGACGATCGCAATCTGCCTGTATCAAAAATTAGTTCCCTGAAGAATTTGCCAACCATAATACTCTCTTGGTTCAACTCGGTAAAATTAACAGTTTAAGAAATATTTAGAAATATTTGTGATTTTATGTCACAGTGCACATCGAGCGGCGCCTCCACCATTTTTTGTTTTAAATTTTTAATTGAACATAATTACTATGTTAGAACCGTACATATTTTTAAAATAAGAGCCTAGGAAATCTTACTGTGGTACTAATGTAACTTTCACTAACACAATTTGACAAATACACTTTACGCTTAATACAAAATAGAAAAACAAAACAAGAATAAGTTAAAGTAAGTTAAAAAAAAATTGGGAGAAAGAAAACTATCAAAATACATTTTCAATATGGGCATTTTTCACCTTCACACACTTCCTAAGTATACGAATGTTATTTGTTTGTACACGAAAAGGCATTTCTGAAATAGGTCTAATATTATTACAATGGAAATTAATTCTTCGTAACAATTCCTTCCTTGACTGTACTGGAGTTGCGTACACTCAACATTTCAAGTATCCCGACGTAAGTCCATCAGGTTAAAGTCTGGAGAATGTGGTGGTCATGAAATTGCGCCTCCTCACGTTTAGGACTGTAACTGTACGCCTTTTCTTTTAATTCAATTAATCTTTTTTTAATTTCTTTTAATTCTTTTAAATTGCACTGTTTTGTGTGTATGTGCGTGTATGTCTATCTTGTAGTACTGTGTTATCTCTTCTCTGTTCAACTATATTTTTTATGCATTTTATAGATTAACATATTTTCCATCTTTTATTAATAAATTAGTGGAAATTCTGAATCCCTAAGTCAGAAAATTGTCTTTTTATCATTTTCGAATTCAGAATGAATGGCTAGTTTAGATTTTTTAAATTTTTAGGGGG